GCTGACACGGAATTGTGGCGAGCTCTGGAGAAAGCTTACCTTGGTGACTGGGTTCGCAGTTTGCCCGCTGGCCTAGATCACTACCTAGGCGAGTCCGGATCTGCTCTGTCCGTAGGTTTCTTTCCTATCTTCTCACCCCTTTCCCCGCTGATTCATGTTTCCTCATGAAAGAAGACTTTGCTTGCGTTTAGCAAGGTACTGTTCCCCTAGGTATGGCGGTTTATTTCTTTAAGACCAAAATGACAAGCAGAGGACGAACAGGCGTGGAGTTAGGTTCTGGCTGCACACAATTTGTAGTTTGGAGTCGATAATTCTATTCAATGATCGACGGGCGTTGATTGAAGTTTTAGGTTATTATGTGGCCAAACTCCATGAGTGACGGTGCTATAACTGCGCAATACGCACAAGCTGCCAACAGGTAGTCAGCCATATTACTTAAGTATTTTTTACCAGAATGCCAGAACAGGTATCAGCTTGAAGCCCAGACACAAATTTCGCTGATGTTCTGCCTCTGCATGACCCAGTTATGAGAGTTTCGGCTGTTCAATTTGTCCCTCAGCATTTTCTGTGTGCCCATTGGTTGGTAGACCAGTTTAAAAAGTTTCGTCTTTTAATTTTTTTAGAAATTAATAATTAATTGAAATAAATAGAATAATATATAATATAAATAATAATTAATTGATAATTAACTTGATGCTGATCAATATATTAAATGTGCAGACAGTAAGGCCCAGAATTCGTGCAACATGTCGACATATACGAAAGATGGATACTCTTTCGCTACTTGGTACTAAGAAAGGTAGTCATACTGATTGTCGTGTAGTCTATGCTGAAATCACTTCAGTCACGATAGGATTCCATCTTTTTAGTGAGCTCATTTGTGGCCGCTGTCAGAACGTAGCATAGTGTAAAAAGTCGCTAATTACGTAGTATGCCTTGTTATCATTGATATGGACCGTGTTTATTCAATCAAACGTATTTTATGAAAAAATGTTCGCAAAAAAATTACTTGTTGTATTCGTTTGCTAGCAATATACACCTTCTTTCTTTTTCATATTTAAAGAAAGTGTATCTTTCGGTTTTAAAATGTTTTCACATTATGAGCTTTCTTAAGGTTGTGAGATGTTCATTCACAATACATCTTATCCGTCAAATTATTACTGCTGCCTTAAATGAATACAGCATGTTCCACATCTGTTGCTATTTTTATGGGAACTATGTGACTTCTTAGTCAAACCGTAGGCGAAAAAGTACGTTTCCTCAAACAGGATATACACAGCGTGCAATTCGTGAACTTTGAATCCAAGTGTAGCAGTAAGTAAGTTTCGGCAATTTAGAAGAATCAAATGATGCCCTTTCCTCAAGTTTAAGAATGGAAGAAGGCGTAATTTTGTACAAAACGAATACAAGAAATATTTAAAGGAGGCGCAATTTGTTATCAGATAAGTACGAGAAAGGACTTTTTCGTGTACGCTTTCCATAAAATATATTTGAATTTATAAAGGCAGTCAAAATCAATGATAAGAAGGCATAGTACATAAGAAGACAACGTTTACATTACACAGCTTTTGTAAGCAACCCCGAAGAAACTCGTTTAAAAGCCTGCATTATCTCGTGACTTAAATGACTTCAGAAAAGACTACCCGAAAAGCAGTATTACAACTTTACTTACTGCCGATTATCGGAAAAGTATCAATCTTTCGCATATGTCGACACGTTACATGAATTGTGGACCACACTGTAGGCATAAATCGACAGACGGCAGGTATGTCATGCAATTATTTGCCATACTGACAATACTAGTACTAGCTAAAATACCAAAAACCGTGAAGTTCAGTGCGTTCTAGATCACTGTATATGCCATCAAGAAGATGCCGCATACAGTAGTCATATCATTGTGAAGTACATATGATTCATATTGTTATTTTTAAGATGGGCATCAGTACCAAACAGATAGCATGAAATTTCAATAGAACTTTAACGGTTTTAAAAATTCATATACGTAGAAACTTTCTAAAAGCGGGAAAACCACTTGAATGAGATGTGACAGAATAGTAAAAAAGTACAAGAAGGATGCATGTATTCATGCTTCCAGAATCACATTTTCACATATAATGACACCGAAAATCCATAGAAAAAATGCATGCATTTTTGCAGATGACCAATGGAACTACTACTCAAAAACCGGAGTCCTGACGTGTCTGGTGTATCATGAGATCGTTGCACACAGAGGTCGATATTAAATCCTTACTTAAGTTATTCTTTCTACTGTAAAAGTCAATTCACAATTCCGGCTAACTTTTATTTTAATTGGTTTTCAGCGTCTGGGTCTTCACCTTGGTCCTGAACGGCATACGCTTTATAAAAAATATACTACCTGTCGTTTAATATACACTAGCTATCAGATTGGAACCTCAAATGTCCATGCGTGGAAGGAAAGCGTATTGGCCTGACGATGGGTCCAGTTGAAGTGCAGGGTAGGTTGCTCGACGCCAAGGCAACTAGTTGTGGCAATAAAGTGCGATTTGTTGTCCTTTTCATCATCACTTGTGCATTTGGACGAAGTTTTAAGACAAGATTCTGACAGAGAATAAGCCCTCGTTCCTCATGGGTACGGCTTATTACATAGTACTTCTAGTCAGGCTGACATCCTTCTTAACAAAGTCCAACTTCGTCAGCCAATAAACTTATATGCGCAGCCTGGGTAGATTGGTATCTCTTTCTCTCTGCGTCTCTCCCCGTTGTCCTCGTGTTCCTCTGGCAGATAAGTAAAGATGTGCGCGATTGCAATGGCCAACATAGCTAAATAATTCATC